CGCGTTTATCAGCTTATCTGAAATTATGTTTGAGTTTTTACATTAAACACAGACCGCGGGTCGACCCCTACGGCCGGCCCGTGGGCTGCGTTTTAGAATAAGCAATTTATCCTGAAACACACAAGCTGACCCAAACGAACCCAAAACACCAAAATTGCGATATTCATCAATTTCATAATTTTCATGCCCACGTGATTCTATATGTTTCTTCACTGCCTTCTCATTTGTTCTGTAAACGTAGCATTACCTTTATAACTTAAATAAATAAGACGACACGTATCTTCATTGTTTTATTCATATAACAAAAGTTTTTTTTTTTAAAATGTTTTTAATTTATTCATTCCGGTGTCCAATCAATTATTAATTTTCATAAAATATTTATGCTCCATAAATAGAAGCTCTGGATGGTTGACGCGTGTCTTGATCCGACGCCAATTAATTGTTGCGGTGCGGCGAAGCTTCTCCGGACCTGGTCAATGCGAACAATTCGCCACGTCACCCGCCCCATGGGGCCACCTCATAAACTCTGGTACGGGACGTGGGCCCCGGTGTAACATGACGTGGGCCCCAGAATGGGCGTGACTTGGGAAGCAAGGCGACAGGAAAGTGGGCCTCATAAAAGTTTAAAGCGAGGGGAGGTGACGTCACCGCTTAAAATGAAAAATGGTGAGGGCCAGCGTACCGCGGACGGTATTGGGGCGACCGGCTACAGCCGGGGAAAAGCAGAGGTGGTCGGTAAACTTCGTGTTGCGAACGCACGTAGCAGTCAAGGGACAGAGGACACCTGGCACGTGTAGGAGATACTTTCCTAGAATACCCCTGCGTTGCTTGCAACTCTACATGGTTACCATGTTAATATAAATATAATTATTATAAAGAGCTTATTATTTTTTTTTTTGGAAAAAAGTGAATTTTTAATTTTTTTTAGAAATTTGACCATTCATCATTCAAAATCTAGCATTTAGACAAACTTGCCAATTATATAACATGTAGAAATATATTAGATTAATATTATTAAATGAAATTATCATTTTTGAGGCATAACTCTGCATATTTATGCAATATGGGAAAAATTTTGGACAGGACATTGAACCAAAAAAGGGAGAGATTCAAGATTTAAAAACCGAACTATGATTGAAACGGAGGTTCAACCGAATGACATAATGAAATATAAATTTATTTAAATATAACATGAATGATGTACTTGAAAAAATAATTATTAAATATTAAATGGATTCCTCAATATTTAAGTAATGAAAAATATAATAATTTTGATGATAAATTATTTCAAAATTTAATAATTGATTTTTAAAAAATTTAAATGTGAGATATAAAAATAAGATCTTAATAACTTAAAAAAAATATATTGAATAAAATTTAAATGTTCTAAGAACTTAAAATGAGTAAATTAATTTCCTCTCTATAATTTATTTTCCTCTTAGATTCCTATTGACCACATCTGCCATGCTAGTACGATACCTGATCATATGATATGGTTGGTTGCTCTTCCCACGCCTTTCTGCTCCATCAGAAACTCCCCATGTACAGCTTCAATAGAATTGCTTTCATCCATTGGCTTCTCCCCATGTAGAGCCTCTTTGCCCCCCATGCTAGCACGATATCCCATTAGAAACACCCCACACGAAATGGAATCACTGAACCAGGAACGACCAGTTCTCTTAAACCTGAAACGGTTTTTCGGCTGGACCAGTGGTTCAAGCGATTCAATGTCGGTTCGTTGTTAATCCTGTTTTGGCTCCCATCTAAATCGATAACAAGCCCCAAACCGAAACCATGCCCGAATCCTCGTTGTACTGCTCTGCCCGACCGATTCGGTCCAGTTTTGAAAACCATGTATTTGTGTACAATTTTATTAAAGTTGAAGCACTCTAAAAATGGCACAATGAGTTCAAATCGTCATTTAAACCAGCAATGTAATATCATTTTTGGATTTCATCGAACTCTCATCATTCAAATCATTGTGATTTACTTAAACCTACATGATGTGTCACTCAAATCATCATTTAAACCCTTACACCCATCACTCTTCTCATGAACTCTTCTTCATCTTTGTATATCATCTATCCTATTAATCCTTCTTTTTAAATAACCACCCATCACAAAATTTACTTCTCCGCACACCTTTGGTTCATAAATTCCTAAACCCAACAAGAACTCATTATAAACTTTTTTTATTCATACGCCGTCAATCAAGCTAATGTCTACATCTGGCAAGCTGAAAATACAAACTCATATTCTCCTTCACATGTTATTGATATTGTTAAATCTTTTCCCAATGAGTTCTCCTCATGAACTCCTTCGGTCCTTCATGTGTCACTAGTAACGTTGATCCCTCCACGTAATGAAATTCTACAAAGATTCGAATAGAGATTCAAGCCTTCATTGAAACTAAGCTCAAACCAAATTTGAAACAAAGTTCAAACAAGATTTGAAAAAAGTTGAACTAATACAAAATTCAAATCAATTTTTAATAACTTACAAAGTCCAATGAATTGTTTATGAATACATGACATTTTCCTTCATTTGGGTTGTTTTCATTCAAACTAAAGTTTCATGCAAGTGTTTATAATTATTAATATAGCATGCAAATCATCCAAATAAGAGTATTATGAGGCATAGATAGTCCAACTTCCATTCTTTCAATAATTCCTAGCTCCCAATAAAATATTTCACACAAGTTAAATTTTACCGATACTCATGCTCAAAGCCTAGAATTACTTTATCTACTAAAAAACCTCTCTACAACTCAACTTTAATAGAAAGTTTTAAGTTCGAATATTATATCAAATTCTCTCACAACCAAAAAGAATTCCACAAATTATTATTTTTTTAATTCTCCTCCATAAATTATTTGAACTAGATTAAAAAGATATAATTGCATTTGTAAATATTTTTTTTCAAATTTATTGAAATCTTCATATGCATATTAAGTATCTGCTAAAAATAATAGCCAAGTAATTCTTAAAAAATATTTTATAGCTACAAATTTATAGTTCATGATTTATCCCCCCTAAAATATTAATATGTCCAAATAAATTCAAATGAAGAAGATGATATTGATATAAGATTATATTATTTTGGACTGATATCATTTTTGAGAGTTCAAATAACCAAGCCAATATTCTCAACGATTATAGATATGGTGTGTTGCTAAAGGATATTCTCCAATTTGTTGCATTAATATGGCTTAAGCGACTACTAGTTCCACCTCCCTTAGTTACAACATTTCACAATATAAAGAAATTATGAAATTTACTAACCTCGCTCCTATGTCAATGTCAAACGAGTGTAAATTTTTCACTGATTTCTAATGGCAAGTGAATTGAGTCATGAATCTTAAGGCTTGTTTGGGATCTTTCTTTTTTATTTTTATTTTATTTTTTATTATTAAATTTATGTTTTGAGCAGTTTAAAAAAACTCTTATATTAGTCAAATAGTTAAATATGTTTTATTTAAATGAAAATATAAATAAAATAAAATAAAATAAAAAATGACCCCAAAATGTCCCTTTAAAATCATAGTATGAAAAATACTACGAGATAAAAATCATCATAATAACAGAACTTGAAAGCAATAACCAATATTTGACATTTAAGGTAATTATTAAGGTAATCATTGGCTAAAAGTAAGCGCTTCCCACCATAAGAATCTAGATATGAGAGTTTGAACTTGAGAGGAGTTTGAGTGTTGGATTGATGAAGATACATTGATAGGTTAAGATTGATGTTTATTTGCTAAATGAGATATAGGTGTTTTTGCATTATTACCATTCAAGGGATTAACTTCATTAAGAATTAGAGCATGGCAAGTCCCTACATCTAGGTTGTTGTCGATAAATAAGAGAGTTCAAATATCATTTCTTGTGTAAACACAACTTTATAGCATTTTCTAAGAGTTCTCTTTGGAATTGTTGAATCAATCTTATCAAATGATCTTTCATTTTATTGAGATGCCCAGAAGTTATGAATTTTTTTTGTTCAACATGCAAAGTTCTTCACAATTCATCATAGTATTCCATTACTTGCTTATTATCTTGAATATTGTCCACGCTCTCATCACATAAGATGTTGGATTCTTGTTTATTAGTGGGTGACACCTTATCCTTCTAAGAGGTGCAATTTGAGCTTAAAGAGAAAATATACATACAAAAAGAGAGATAAAGAAAAGCTTCAAGAAAATTATTATTATTTTGTTAGAAAATATATGATTTGTTTGTTATAGGCATATGTTGAGCTTATTATTAGACCTATCATTCATAAATATAGACCTAGATTCATTTCTATAAAAAATATTTCTAATTAAGTAACAAAAGAATTTTTATAAAAATATGCCTAATAAAGATGCATGTATTGTTGAAAAGTTTTAGTTTAATAGCAGTTGGAATTTAATAGGGATATTCTGTAAATGAGTTCTTCTTATTGATAAAAAATACTCTTAATTGGTGGGTGGGTTTCTTTAAATCGAACTGCAAATATTCTTGATGAGCTAGCACCTTTAACATGTTAAATTTCAAACATGATAAAGCCATCTCAAAAATATATAATTTTGAATGATAAAGCGATTCAAGACCTTCAAAAACTTCAAGTTTGAGACAACTTTAATATACTCAAAGGCGAGTAGCACCTTTCATAAGCAACTCAATAGGATGCATCTTTAAGCAATCTGAAGCTCGTCAAATTCATTTGAGCCTTATTCAATTTTGTGCTTCGACTCAATTATCTTAACTTATATGATTATAATACCACAAATTAATATTATCATTGCATCATCATTTATAATGATATTTTTTTACTCTCTCACATATTGTAAGTGTTGCTTGAGGACAAAGTAATTGTGAGAGGGCCAAATTGTTAATTAAACCTCTTGATAGGGCAAGGTGAATAGACCAAATTTATTATTTAAAATATTAGGTACAATTTCAACAAATCTAGTATTGCTCTGAAAAAAAATTATTTTGTACATGGAGAAGGAAAAAAAAATGGTCCCTTTCATGAGAGGGAACTATAGGACCCCCTCCTCTGCAAAACTCCATTAAAAAAATAGCGGATTTCCTTTTCTCTCCTTTTCTGCTGATTCCTCTTCTTCACCCCGTAACTCCCTTCCCTCTTTAAAAGTCCTCCTTTCCTCTTTCTCCGAAACCACGACTGCAATCTTCTCCAGAGTATCAGAAGTGAACTTCGAGGCCCTAAGTTGCCATGTTCGGAAAAGCCCTCTCTTCCCCCTCGCCGTCCACCGGCTCTCTCGATGGTGATGGCGACCTCGAGGTGGGATTCTCCGGCGGAGTCGCGCCTTTGCCGACCCCTCTTTTTTACGGAAGAGGAAACAATCGGGCGTTAATAACTCGAACGCCGGCGAGGTTCTTCTGCGACGATCTCTCAGATGTCGAATCTCACCATTTTCTCGACTTTTGCTTCCTCTGCAATAAGCATCTGGGGGGCAACCGCGACATCTACATGTACAGGTTCGTGCGACGAGTCGATTCGAATAAATAATTTTGATTATCGCTTTTGTTTTTGTAAATCTGGAGCGTGAGGGTTGGGATCTGAACGATCTGTGGCTGAAATGGTTGCAGGGGTGATATGCCGTTCTGCAGTGTTGAGTGCCGGCAGGAGCAGATTGATATGGATGAGGCTAAAGAGAGAAACTGGAAGATCGCGATTATGGAGCGGCAGCAGAAGCATAAAAAGCCATCGAGCCCAAATAAATCCCAGAGAATCAAGGTCCGGCTGGGAACCGTCGTTCCGGCCTGAGATCTACGGCGGCGATATAACAGAACTTCGTCTTCATAGATGTAGATGAAGACAAATATAAATGAAAGTGAGATAAGGAGAGAAGTATCCGAAGGAAATCGTGTGATCTGAAAAAGATTGGGGTTTTGATTAGGGTTAGGTTTTCTGCCCTCTATTTGAGCTTTGATCGGATCTGGCCGCCGGCGGTGGTCACTTGGATCTCAAGTTTTCTTTTTTTTTTTTTAATGATATGTACAGGAAGGTTTTTCCTGTAAATTTTTGCAAATATTGGAGGACTTTTATGCAATTTTGCGGGTTCAAATTGAAAAAGTAAGAGTATCGTTTACTCTTTAGTTGCAGGCTGTGTGATCTGCGAGTTTTTTCTTTTTTTCTTCGAGGATGAGGAGACGATTTGGGGAGCGGTTTCGCCGGTACTATTTGAATTATTGTGGTGATGATTGGTAAAACCGACGGCCCTTTAACGGAAAAAATTGACGGCCTTTTAACGGAAAAAAAATGGAGAGACTTTAAATATAACTATTAAATTTTTAATTGATTAAATCTACTTTGAGACAATTATAATATGTGATTAATTAATTAAATTTGTATTAATTTTGTTCTAATATAATTTCTCAATTATCAAATTTACTTGATTAATTACATTATTATTTTGTTTATGCTTATAATTTCAAAACTAAAATAGCATTTTTTATTGTATTTATACGAAACATGACTTAAAATACTATATTTCTAAGTTATGTATGATTAATATTGATTTTAATAAATATTAGTAGAAAATTTAATGATTTTAATAAATTCTATTAGAAAAAATGGTCGACACCTTACATTTTTCCCCCAAATTATTACTTCAGGCCAGGATGCATCGAACTAGATTGTAGTCTTAATTATAACTTGAAGAAATGTTTGAATTGTGTGTGTGTAGTTTTAATTAAAATGCCACGCCCGAATCCCTTTTGGACTGCTCCGCCCCATCGATCCGGTCAAGTTTTCAAAACCATGTATTTGTGTACAATTTTACTAAAGTTGAAGCACACTAAAAATGGTACAAAGAGTTCAAATTGTCAATTGAATCTATGATGGAATATTTTTTGTACTCATTCGTTTAGGACTTAAAAGTCCTGTCTCTTCTTGATTAGATTTTATGCTATTTGTTTACTCTTAAATTGATGGTTTAATCTTTTGAACCTAATTTACTCATAACCTGATTGCTTAGGAAATTAAAATGAGTCGTGATCTAGTACTGCAAGAGTAGGCTGGCGAAACAATTATGTTAATGTACATCACTCTAAGAAAATGTGAATATTGTTATTAAGATAGTGCAATTATGTAGGGAGATTCACAAATATTGGGATTTTGTTTGGTTAGAGGAACAAGTATAATAAAAAAAAAACTCTAATTTTCTTATTACCATGGGAGGTAGGTCTGTCAATTTGGCTCGTTGTTCGTGAACAGCTCGTGTTCGGCTCAAAAAAAAAATTATATAATTTTTTTATATAACAATATATTACATATATTATAATATATAATAATATATTATATATATTTATGTTTAAAAAGCAATAGTGAAATGAAGGACTAGCAATACTCTAAGAAGAAAAACAGTGAAATAATTGTCCTAAACGATTTGATCCAGGTTCGAATCTCACAC